TCATGTATGGATGTGAGAGTTGGACTGTAAAGAAAGCTGAGCACAGAAGAATTGATGCTTTTGAACTGTGGTGTTGGAGAAGACTCTGTGGTGTTGAGAAGTCCCTTGGACTGCAAGGAGATCCAACCAGTCCATCCTAAAGGAGGTCAGTCCTGGGTGTTCATTGGAAGGACTGATGCTGAAGCTGAAACTCCAGTAGTTTGGCACCTGATGTGAAGAACTGACTAATTTGAAAAGACTCCTAGGTTGGGAAAGACTGAAGGCGGGAGGAGAAGGGGACGACAGAGGATGAGATGGCTGGATGGCATCACCGATTCTAGGGACATGAGTTTGAGTAAACTCCGGGAGTTGGTGATGGACAGGGAGGCCTGGCTTGCTGCAGTCCATGGGGTCGCAAAGAGTTGGACACGACTGAGCTGAATAGTCAGTTAACAATGGAGTGATAGTTTCAGATGAACAGTGAAGGGTCTTGGCCACACATATACATGTATCCATTCTCCAAGCCCCCTCTCATCTAGGCTGGCACGTCACATTGAGGGTTTCCCGTGCCATACAATACATTTCTGTTGGTTATCCTTTTTAAATATAGCAACGTGCACATGACCTTCCCAAAGTCCTTAGCTATCGCATCCCCTTGGCAACCAAGAGTTCGTTTTCTGAGTCTGTGAGTCTTTTTCTGTTTTGTAAGTAAGTTCATTTGTATCATTAATTCTGTCTTTAATGATTAGTCATTTTTGTAATTTGGTTAAAAATATCTGTTTATACCACAAGATCAGGTGGATATTGTTATAAATTATTTTTTTAAAATCTTATTGTTTTTTTCTTTTAACATATATGGAAATGACTTTTGTTAATGTTGTTAAGTGAAGGTCCAATTCCTCATTTTTGTGTGCATACCAAATTGATTAGTACCATGTATCAAAAAGAATATCTTTCTTCCCTATTTTTCTAGCACAACTGTTACATAAATCGAGTCCACATATAGTGGGTATGTTTCTGGGCTCTCTTTTCTATTTCACTGGTCTATTTGTCCCTTATTATTTTGGCCACACTGTACAGTTTGTGGATTCTTAGTTCCCTGGACAGGGATTGAACCTGGGACCTTTCAGTGAAAGCACCAAGTCCAAACCACTGGACTGTTGGGGACTTCCCTGTCCCTTTTTGTATTAATACCAAACTGCTTTAATCACTGTCATTTAGTGATAATATTTAATAGTCAATATGAAACATTTTCCAAGTTTCTTCTTCAGTAATAATCCTGATATTATGTCTACTTAAAATTTTTATTTTATCGAGGTGTAGTTCAAAATAATAGCTGCTGGCATAGAATATAGTGATTTAAAATTTTTGGAAACTGTACTGCGTTTAAAGTTATTGTAATATTGGCTATATTCCCTGTGATGTACAATATATCTTTGTGGCTTATTTATTTTATACATAGTAGTGTGTACCTATTAGTACCCTACCTCGACCTTGTCCCCACCTCCTTCCCTCTCCACTGTGGTAATTGCTAGTTTATTCTCTCTACCTGTCAGTCTCTTTCTGTTTTGTTACGTTTATATTTTTTGCTGTATTTTCTGTACTCAAAATATAAGTGGTAACATAAAATTTTTGTCTTTCTCTATCTGATTTATTTCAGTAAGCCTAATAACCTCCAGGCCCGTGTTGCAAATAGGAAAGTTTCATTCACTTTTATGGCTGAGTATTATTCCA